TCGAGGGGTTTGGGGTGGCGGGGAGGGGTTTGTCACGCCAGCAGGAATTGGCGTGAGCGTTCCTCCCAGGGGCAAATCCCTCCCATCTTCTCTGCAGTTTAAACTAGGAACAAAAAGTATGTGTATGTTTTATTTTTTTTGGTTTTATTTCACTTTCATTTTGTTGAAGTTTTATTTTTTGTTGTGGGAGGGGGGTGCAGTGTGTCCCTTCACCTCCCTCTGACCTCTACCTAACATACAGTACAGGAAGGGGGCTCTGCTTTGCTTCAACCTACTATTGTACAGTGCTGTCGATGTGTGGAGAGAGGGGTCCCCTCCTCCCTGCTGGCGCACGGCCACTACGCTGGCCAATAGGGAGCCACGTCACTGCCTGGCAGGGCGATACTAGCCAATCACTGTTTGGGTGTTTTTTGTGGGGGATGATTAAAGCGCTTCCTACTCAGGACCTGAGAGATACGTCACTGCTGCCAGAGAGAATGTAACTCTTTATTTCCCCTATTCTCGGTCCCTTTTCCACCAGACTGCTCAGTCCTTCATGAGAGATGTTGATGGTGTTTAACTATAGTCACATTGCCCCTAACAAACATGTCCCAGAGCCCACCTCTAGAGGGCAGCACACATAAAGAGAAGGTCACAGACAAGGGAGAAGACAAAAATAATGATTGTATGTTAGATATTTAATCTGATCAGAGAGCTGATGCTTTCAGACAGACTGAGGCTGAGTCAGAGCTGTTTGCTGGTGTTCAGCATAGCAGAAGCCCCCCCACAAAAAACAACACCACCTCCACCCGCTCCAGCAGCACAAAAGGACAAAGACATGAGGTAATGTCTGCAGGCCCACAGAGGCAGAGATGGAGACAGACAGAGGGGTGGGAGTGGATGGTGTGGAGCTGCTCTGCTGTGTAACAGTCACCAGTACTCCCAGTGCAAAATAACACAAATCTCCACTTTGTTTGACCTCTCCCCTTTTACAATTTGCTTTTTAAAAAAGATTATCAGAGGAAGATTAGTTCAGAGATAATAACAATAATGGTATCATTACACATGTATAGAAAATGCACAGTCTGCTTGGACTTTACTGTACAAAGAATCGCATTCGGGTTCTATCAGACATAGCCTCTGTATGGAGGAGGATTGGGTTTATAATTCTCCTTTTTTATTTATTTTTTATTTTATTTTTTTTTGCAGGGTTCTTCAGTTTTGGCTCTCTTTTTTATGTATTTTAATTATTAACTAAGTTAAAAGCAATTTAATATTTTAAGCTCTGCGGATTATAATCTAATAAAAGAGAGAAATGCCATCTTGTGTCTGTGTCTTTTTTTATCAGTGTGTCAATTATTCAGGACGAAGGAAACATGAGCGTCTTGTGCTCAGCCTCATAAACACTGCTATTTTTAAAAGGGAACTCAACTTAGTTCACAGTTCACAGGTCATGAGGAGTGCTGCTCGGTTTGTAAACACAGTTTCTAATATGTTCTGTTACTGAAGGAGCTTTGTACCCCAGACTGCTGGGGTATGTTTTGAAAGGGACGGAGATCAACCAGGAAGGGAGGGTCAAATGAATAGATGGTTGCATTATGGGAACTGTAGGATTGCGTTTTTGAAGATTTGAATCCTACTAGGGAGAAGAAGTCAGAAAATCTAAGCCTCTGCTGTTGGAAATATTCCTTTTTTGCTCTGAGTAGAACTAAAACAATAAATCAGACAGGAAAGTTTATCTATCGACAGTGACGATGTATGACATTATACAAATGTATTGCATAGATCTTTGTCTCGATTTCTTTACCAATTTAAAGTTATTTTCTGCTTGAAAAAAATATGAATCGTTGTCCTTTTTACAAATCATGATTAAGACTCCTTATAAACAACACACATATTAATGAGAATTATTATTATTTATTGCTTATAAATACATGCAGCCACTTTTGATTAAAACAAAGAAATCAAACGCATCCAAACTGGACTTTCTTTTCATTCTGGGTACCAGAACTCCCCTGTTTTTATAAGAAACTGCAAACAGAATCTACCTACGGGTACAAATAAATAACCTGTTATTCTCAGTGCAATCTATGTGCATGGTCACACTAACCCCGAGTAAAAGCTTGTTGATGTGCGTATATCTGACTGCATAATAGAACTGTGATGTGGATTACCGATAAGAGCAACATATATTAATTATAAAATCATATTTGTCAATTAAACATCTTTACATTTCCATCCGGGACCTGCGGGAGGCCGCGGAGGCCCGCCGCCTTCTCACGGTCGCCCGCAAGGTTACGCCCTCGTTCAGCTTAAAGCGCGCGATGCCTCCCACATCGTCCAGCTTCTTGGCGCTGCAGGAGGGAGTCGGGACCTTCATCGTGTTCCCGAACTTGGAGTAGTCCACCGCGTACATGCCATCCTCCTCCGAGACTGTGGGCACGAAGCGCTGCCCCCACAGGATCTCCTCCGACACATAGGATGTCCTGGCCTGCATGGTGATGCCCGTGGTCTCCACCACCCCCTCCAGCACCGCCACCACCTCCACGTTCTCGTGCTGCAGGTCGAAAGCTGACATCGAATACAGAGGGCTGTCCTTGTCGATCACGTGACAGATAATTAGCGGGGACACCAGGAAGATGCCATTGGTGCCCACCGGGTTATCCATGTGGATGTCCACCTGGTCCAGAGGCACCACGTCGCCCTCCTGTGTGGAGGTGCTCCGGACCACCTGCAGCCGTACGGTGGCGCTGATGATCATGCTTTTCCTCAGGTCCCCGATGCGGATCATGAAGCACAGTTTGTTGTTCCGCACGGAGATGACTGCGTGCTTGCTGAAAATGAGCGTCTCTGCGCGCCGATGGGCCTGCGCAGTTTTCATGAAGATGCAGCCAAGCATAATGGCGTTAATGAGCAGCCCGACGATGTTCTGTATGATCAGGACGATGATGGCAGATACGCATTCCTCCGTGACCATCCGGCCCCCAAAGCCGATGGTCACCTGCACCTCTATGGAGAAGAGGAAAGCGGAGGAGAAGGAGTGGATGTTCGTTACGCACGGGACAAACTCTTCGTCTGTCTGGTGCAAGTCGCCGTGCGCAAAGGCAATGAGCCACCAGATCATCCCGAAAAGGAGCCAGCTGCACAGGAAGGACATGGTGAAAATGATGAGCGTGTGGAGCCATTTTAAATCCACCAGAGTTGTGAAGACGTCCTGCAAGAATCGACCCTGCTCTCGGATGTTGGTGTGCGCTACATTGCAGGTGCCATTCTTGGCGACAAATCGAGCTTTCCTTGGTTTGGCTTTAAACTTTGGCTGCTGGACATTCTCAGCCAAACGTGTGAGCAAGTAATCCTCAGGAATGAGTCCTTTCCTGGACAACATAGCGCTCCCATACTATAGTCCCATGAAAAGGGAAATATTTATCTTTATGCCAATGCCTGTTTTTACCAGCCGAGCTCCTCAGCAGCTGTCGGGTGTAGGACGGAGGGTCATGTCCGTTTTCTGGAGGTATGTGCGCTCCTCACGTTGCCTCTAGATCAGGCGCGAAGTCCCAGGAGAAAAAAACTTCTTTCAGCTCCGCAGCTGCCCCCGTCACTCACAGCACCCACCGACACACCGGGAATGTATCAACGCGCCGCCCCGTCCCACCGTGAATCCACTCACTGATGGTGCGCATTAAGTGAGAGGTGCAGGAGCATAATGGGCCTCTGGCTGACTTTGAGCACCTTTGGGTGAGAAGGCAGCCTTTAGTGGCACAGTTGGCTCTGTGCTGACTCTGCCACTTCACTAAAGCTCGGTAACGTGAGATGGAGACGAGGAGAGGTGGAGAGGAGGTGCCCCCCCCCCCTCCCCTCCACCATCTCTGTGCTGCCCTTCCTGTGATTTTCAATGCAGTAGGCCCATCACACATTAAAAAATGTGTTTAGTTGGGCAGCTACAGGCAGCTTACGCTTTGAGTATGTCATGGGTTAAATATAGGACACTATGGAAAATCACCCTCAGGCTTTTCGATATAAACTTGGCTTAAGAAGAATAGAAAGCCGGCTGTTCACCCATAGGACCCAGATCTAGTTTTCTAATTAAACTCCCATCCTGGGGTTTCTTCCCTCTCATTTCTCTTTCAACACCACCCATGGAAACTTTATTTTACAAGCCACTGTTTTCCTTTGAAAGGCGTATAACTTTCTAATATAAGTCAGCCAGCAGCTGCTCCTCCCACTCTGACGCGTCTGAGTATAAGATGATACTATGCTGTGTTTTGGCTCTTTGCCCACCAGCATCATGTATCCCTCAGCTCATGTTCACCCTGCATCGGCCAGTGATTTATGTGTTTTGTACAGGTCATAACTTTTCTGTCACACAAGCACAACAAATTCTCCATCCAATATCTTTTTCAAAACAGCCCCAACCAAAGAAACACACATGTTAATGATATTTTATCTTTTATTATCAAATAATTAACTATTTTATGTACAAATATTATACAACATGATTAAAAAATAAAAAGATATATCTTCTTATATATCTTTCATGGGACAATTGCACTTTGAATGTCTTCCTCTAATGCTTCTTCTCACTTTCTGTTCTTGTGCTATTTGTCTGCTCGCACGAAGGCTCCGAAGACGCTGTCCTCCTTCTCCAGCAGGGCCTCGGGCCGGTCGTACTCCTGGATCACCCCCCGCTTCATCACAATCACCAGGTCGGCATTCAGGATGGTGTGGACGCGATGCTGAGGGCGGAGGGGGAGAAAAAAATAATGTTTACACAACTTAATGAAATACCAGTCTATGAAATACACACGCAACTTGCTGTTACACTAAAGAAAGAGATGAAATGAGAGTCTGGCTCAGGAAAATGTTCCTCCGCTGCTTTTTAAAGTCATCACAGGTTTCTGGTTGCCCTTCCTTTTTTCTCACAAGTTCATCTCATCTGAAGTGAAGAGTTATTACATTTTAATATCCATGGGTTATCTTTATTTCATCATGAAATTATGTGAAGAACCCAGTCGCAAAATTGTCCAATAAGTTTAGCCTCTTCTCTGATTTCCCCTCTCTCTTACCTTTCAGGAAACAGTCCAAAAAAAATGTGTTTTTTTTTTGTCCGCACTGCTGCTTTGCATCACTTTACAGGAACTGCATCAGCAGGAGGAAGGTCAGCGCTCTCAGGGGGAAAGGGAGCGCTGCGTGTTTTACTGTTACTGCCTGGCACAGTGGGGGGGGAGATACTCACTGCTATAGTGACCACTGTCCGGTCAGCAAAAGCGGTCATCACCACCTTCTGCAGGATGCTCTCCTGTGGGGACAGACGAAGGTTCACAATCAAGGACAAAGTAAATGAAGCAAAATAAAAGTCCATTGGAAAAGCGTACATGTTCTGTTGCCCTGTTTAACACTATGTTAAACTCCATATCCTTATTGCATTGCACCCTATACTATACCTCATACTGTACTTTTTTTTACTATATTGTGTTGATATCATAAACTCTACTATGTCATCTTATACGGTTTTGACCACATCATATCCTCCTGGGAACCGAGGAAAACAAATGTTTTCCAATCTTCTTTATTTTCTACCTATTTAGGGTTAAAAAAACATCTTGCAATTTAGACTTTTTAAATGTAATTACATTTTTAAATGTTACAGTATGTCCACTGTAGAGGACGTCGGGACCATTTTAGTTTGAAAAGACAGCCAAAATGAACAGATAGACTATATAACGTTTTATGGTTATAGAGTGATATTAATACAAGAATACATTCACCTTTATTTAAAACATAAATGAGTAATTGATCTGAACATTGCTGTTTATTTGGTCACAAAAAAAACAGTTTGTTTTTTGTTGAATCTTTCCAGATCTTCAAAGACCTGTAGTCAATGTACTGGGAAAGTACCTCATTGACTCCAGTCGGCACGGGCTGTATGATCATCTTGGCTAGTTTTATGGATGTGGTCTCCATTTGACCATGCTCATAGAAACAAAGCTTGCATTCCTGAGGCAATTCTCATTTCTCATGGCTCCACTTAAAATAAAAACAACAATAAGACATGCGTGCTACTCTTGGCCCACAGAGGGACATGTCTTTCCCCCTCGTCCCTATCCGTCTCTATGTCTATATCTGTGCGCTCATGGAGCCTCCTGCATCTTCCCCTCCCCCCTTCTTCTTGACCCTCTTCTATCCCAGGTGTGAAAGCCTCATCTCTCTCATCATCTGAGAGCTCCAAATCTGAATCTCAGAAAATGTCTGCTTCAGTTCCGTCTCCTGCAACAATATTGAGTCATTAAGTCCATGAAGAGGGTCCATTTATAAAAGAGCTGTTATTTCAAAACTTGAATTATTGAATTGCTTTCAGAACTAATTATATAGTTCCTCACATGTTAATAAACAAGAACATATATGATTTTCATGGTAAAAATAACAATTATTAAACAATATTTGACTTCTCCTCCTGCTTCTATAAAGTGTTGTTTTTGGTATGCCAGTCATTTTGGATGAAAAGAAAGAGGAACTTCCCAGCATGCAATTTTAACCAATGACATATCACTGGAAAGCCCAGGATGTCCTCTGTACAGTACAGCAGGGATTGCTGTACCTCAAAAGAGTAAAAGGAGATGCATGTTAACTAAATGTCCACTACAATGGACATTTGTCAATGGGCTGGTATAGTATGAGTATATAGTATTTATTTTGTGCTATTTAATTTCAGGCAACACTTAATATCAATACACTGGGGAACACTGTTAACATTTCATTACAGACAAATTTGATAGTATAATTGATAAAACGATATAAAAAGTAAGCATATTATGTAAGAAAATGTAAGTATAGTACAACATAAAAGTAGATATGTTGTGTTGGTCAAATTAATAGCTAGTATAGTATAGTGACATAGTATGTCATAAAAAAAAGCCAGTATATTATGTTCACCCTCTCTTTCTGAGTTACACACCTCCACTCCGGCTTCCTTTTTATTCTCCTATTCATTACCAACGCATCGGTTTCAGACTGTAACCAAGACCTGATCAGAACCCGGTATCAATACCATAATTACATAATATCTTCAAATAAATTGACTAACAGTTAACATAATTATAATTAAATCCATTTTTATATCAAAATGTTTCTATATGATCAGTTGATTCAGTTGCAGATTGTAAATCTACAACAAATATCTCTTTAGTTATTTCAGGGTATCTGCACATTTTTGAAGCAAACATTTATTGACTTCCTGTTTAAGAGCTCTAAGAGGAACAAAAAAACCTACTTTTACTGCAGTGAAAGAAAATCGATGATTTGACTTCAGTGGACTCCAGTATCGAGTTATATTAAGGACTGAAATATTCATTGCAATTTAGCTAATATCACTGACTTTAAAATAACCCATGCCCTGACACACACTGACACACACAGACCGTTGCCATGTCGATGGACGCAGTGGCTTCGTCCATGATGAGGATGCTGCTCTTCCTGACGAAGGCTCGGGCCAGACAGAACAGCTGTCTCTGACCCTGACTGAAGTTCTCTCCTCCCTCTGTTACCATGGCATCTGCAGAGGAAACAATTATAATACAGCAAACAAAACACATCAATATTAATATTAATTTATCTTACGTACATTATATACAGGCGGACAGATTTGAACTGCTGACACGTGACATTGGCACGACGTTATGCTTTCAACTAAATGAGAGGGCAAATTGATTGGCCTTTAACTCTTAGCTTACACATACATATCCTATTGATTTTCCATTCACATCTCTGTGTTATGAATGATGCCAAGTTATGCTTAAAAATTCAATTCCAGCGATTTATCAGTTTGTGTTTTGAGTTCTAGAGATGTTCAACGTTATTGGGCAGTTAAATAGTAAAGAGATACACATCAACCATGGGAAAATTGCTGTGTTTGCTGATTAAATGATTATTTTACTATCATTTGGGGAAGAAAATGAAAATATTTGTGTGTGTTTAGCGTTTAATTAATATATTCTGTTATTATAACAAAGTTTATATTCACAAACTATATTATTCAAACTGTGCACCCTTTAGAACTTACTGCAGTTAACAGCAGTCCACTTTAAATGCGACATTAGACTCTTAATTGTAACTCTCACATAATTAAAGGGCAAACCTAAGTAGCCATTAAACCCTGATCAATATCTTGGCTCTAGTATATGAAAACTAAAGCGGTGAGTGGTGCAGTTTGAACCTCTCACACACCGACACACACACATTTGCCAGTGTCACATGGACTGAAGCAGTCTGTTATCCCACCAGAGCAGTGAGCGGTTGCTCTGATCATTTACAAGAAGGACGTTTAGAGGGTGACAGACATAAAGGTGATACACTGCAGACTGACCGCAGCTAAACTAAGACTCTGGGCAGAGAGGAGGCCCATGCATCAGCATACCAAGCATTCACCACATATGTAGGTTGCATCTGTTAAAGTGGAACATGGCCCTCAGATTATATCTGATCCGAAGGTGAGAGTCACTGTCATGTCAGAACCGTGACCTGAAGCCTACTAAGAATAATGTGCCTGTGAAACTGTGCAGGGTGGAGCTGCCGCACACAGACTACAGCTGGGGAAGGGAGGTCAAAGATTCATCCATCTGATACAGCCGCCTGCCTAATCTGTGTCAGGACACCGGAGAAGAGCTGAACAATTACTCTGAATACAAAAAAATATACGCAATATGTAATAGTACCATATCCAAATTCCCGAAGGCAGAATTATGTAAAAAGCTACATTTACATCAAAATACCACTCTGAATTATGTGGTGTTGCAGAGATGTCCCGCTACAAATTGTATTCTAGAGATGTTAGAACAATTCTGTGTTTGGTACAGATCCCTGAAAAAAAATCCCATCATAATCATTGTTTTTATTCGAATTATGAACATATGGGCAAAGGTTTTAGGCACACACATTACAAAAAAACGATTTAGGCACACACATTACAAAAAAACGATTTAGGCACACACATTACAAAAAAACGATTTAGGCACACACCAACATTACAAAACAAATATGTTCTCACCCAGGCCTCCCGGCAGCGATTTAACGATAGGCTTCAGCTGAGCAATCTCCAGAGCTTCCCAGAGCATCTCTTCTGTCGCCTTCAGCTCCGGGTCCAGATTGAACCTACACACACACACACACACACACACACACACACACACACACACACACACACACACACACACACACACACACACACACACACACACACACACACACACACACACACACACACACACACACACACACACACACTTCACAGAGACACAGACACACACTGACACACACACACACAGAGACACACAGA